CTAATATAAGATGAGGCTTGACTTACACATGAGGCTGCTACAGACTGCTCTGAACAGCGTATATCCCCTGATGACATCATCAGGGGAATGCTTTTCAAACAGAACATTTTGAGCACCCATTAGGTGAAGAAAGGCAGTGAGAGAGGAGAAAGGTTTTTTCTTTTGTGAATCTCATCTCTCCATCAGGGTCATGGTGGGTCAGTCCTTTCTCCTTCTAATCTAGGGGCGAAAGGCGGGGCTGCCCTGAGCGGGGCGCTCACTGGGCGGGGTCTGCCCTGAGCGGCGCGCTCACTGGGCGGAGTCTGCTCTGAGCGGGGTTCACGCTGGGCGGGGTCTGCCCTGGGTCGACCATCGCTTTGTGGCACAACATGTTATCCAGCAAATCTTGATTCTTAAATTCGCCCACATTTCTGTTTTATATTAATTTAGTTTTTCTAAAATGTTTTTAAGTCATTATGATAAATAAATAAAACTGAAAATCTTAAAAACATCAGCCTTGGCTGATTATAATATGTTATCTTAGTGAATAATCTGTATATAAAATGACTCAGGGATAACTGGTTTATCAAAGGATATTTATTTACAAGGATCAACCAAGGAATCAAACTGTGTTCAGACTCTAAGTAGAAATACATAAACTATCAGGGGATATCAGAGCTTTGTTTAAATATACATATTCATACAGCACTTTTCTTTATACAAAAAAAACCATAAACCTGAAGTTAGCGGTAGATGATAAATTTCCTTTTTTCCTTAGAAATAATCTATTTGTGGCTTCAAACCCCAAAAGTTGAAAGTAGACAAAGTTGTGGAAGGCAAAGCATGGAGAAAAAGTTCACCTGCAGAGAGGAAGAAAAGAAACCTTCACATAATCTGACATCTGGAGACCATTAAACAGCCTGGCAGTCAGAGCTCCTCCAGACGGGCTGATTTTAACAGAACCTAGGTTCACTGAGGGATCTGTTTGCTTAAAACCCAGCTTAAACCTCAGCATAAAGCTGAGCTTAAAGGTGGAGAGAGGTTCCATCAGACTGTCTGAAGGCTCCTGTTGTTGGTAGTACTGGAGATTCTGGTGACATGAAGATCAACATTGTTTAAACTGAACATTCATAATTAGAATATTAAAAATCTTGTTTATTTCAGTTCATTTAAAGCCTTTTACAGACGAACTAGATGTCGATGTTAGATGTTTTCCTGTCTTTCAGGCAGGAACCCGCAGAACTAACCTTCTCTCTGGATCTTATGTCCAAATCAGAGAACATTCAGTTTTTCCTTCCACCAAATTACCACCATCGGTTTCACAGCGCAGACCTTCCTGAGGCTGATTCTACTTTCCCTTATGAATGGTTTACTTTAATCATTTAATCTCTCCGACTCGCCGTTCTGCTAAATTCAGTCAGCTTAGATTATCTAGATCATGAGAGGCTCTAACCCCAAACTGCAGGTGGAAGGTTTAGAAGCCTTCAAATGATTGAATTTTATAATTTTTTTTGTGTTTTATTCTCTTAAATTTCTCTTCTTTCATCCAGATGGGGAACCATTAAAAACTAATAGAAGCTGCAATAAAATGAAGCTACAGATATATTGCAGTTTATTATGTCCAGCTAATGATGACTTCTGCTCATTCATCATCTAGAGGAGTAAAGTGATGTTTGTTGCATGGATATGTGAAAGCACAATAATGATGAGGGCAGATATGAATGGTGAAAAGATGTGAGGGCTGTCCGCCCAATCAGCCCAATGAAAGAGCCCTTTGATAAAGGCTGGAGTCAGCATCCATAATGGATGCTCCCTGTCAGAAAACAGAAGCTGGAAGCATCACTGCTTGTTGCTAAGAGCAGATCACTTATTGTGGTCCCCTAACATTGTTGGTCCAAATATGCGAGTGGCCGGGTGGAGGAGGGTGTAGGAGGGGGTAACAGGCAGCAGGGTGTTCTGTCTCAGCTGGTGACCCAGAAAATATTCCTAAAAACTCAAACAAAAGCAGAACCAGAACAACAAGGCTGTTATTGCTCCCAGAAGAGAAAAAAAAACCTTTAGATAAAACCGACTATGCAGCCAGAGGGCAGGCTGAGTCTGGACGGGCCGCCAGAGGGCCCCAGCATCATGGGAGGATGTTATTCTATCACTCTGAAGCAAAATGCTAGGGAACTGGAGAGAAAATATCGCTCCACGGGCCTATGGGAATCCTACCTACTCTGGAAAAATAGTTTACTGATGTATAAGTGGACCCTTTGTAAAGCAAGAGCAGCATACTTCTCCTCATTAATTGGGGAGTATAAGAATAATCCTAGATTTCTTTTTTGAGGCACTTTTGTCTATTTTTTTGGACAGTAGGTTCTGCAGGGTGGGGCAGCATCTGAGGTAGTCATGGAATCTGAACCGGGTTTGGACTGCTTGATCCAGTAAATAAAAACTATAGTCTTCATCTAAGCCTTCAACTTGTATGTTAGATCCAGTTCCAACCAGGTTGTTTAAGGAGGTATTCCCTTTGATCTCCTCCTCTATTTTAGATGTGATTAATCTATCTCTGTTACAGGGATATGTACCTAAAGCTTTTAAGGTTGCTGTAATGAAACCTTTGCTTAAGAAACCGTCTCTTGACCCAGATGACTTGGTTAATTATAGACCTATATCCAATCTTCCTTTCTTATCTAAAATTCTTGAGAAAGTAGTTGCCAAACAAGTGTGCGATCACTTACACCATAATGAACTTTTTCAAAAGTTTCAGTCTAGAGTTTCAGCACTAGACTGGTTTAAATCTGATCTATCTGATCAATTTTAGTTTGTTGATGACAAATCTTCCTCACGCTCAAAGGTTACCTGAGGAGTACCACAGGGATCAGTGCTAGGACCAATTCTCTTTACTTACATATTTTTTGTACTCTTTTTTCTTTACTCTTTACATAAATTACAGGCATATCTGAAGACATAAAAACCTGGATGACTCTTAACTTTCTCCTTTTGAATGCAGACAAACAGAAGTTATAGTCTTTGGACCAGAGTCTCTAAAAAATAAGCTGATTAGCCAGTCACTTCATTTGGATGGGATTAAACTGATTTCAGATAATAAAGTAAAACATCTTGGTGTTATTTTTGATCAGGACCTGTCATTTAAATCCCATATCAAAGAGGTTTCTAGAATTTCCTTCTTTCATCTGAGGAACATTGCAAAAATGAGAAATCTCCTGTCCAGGGGTGATGCTGAGAAACTAGTTCATGCATTTGTTACTCTCACATATAAAGCCTTAAATGGCCAAGCTCCATCTGATATCAGAGATCTGATTGTTCCTTATGTTCCTAACAGAGCACTTCGCTTTCAATCTGCAGGTTTACTAGTGGTTCCTAGAATTTCTAAAAGTAGAATGGGAGGCAGATCTTTTAGTTATCAGGCTCGTCTCCTGTGGAACCAACTACCAGTTTTAGTCCGTGAGGCAGACACCCTGTCTACTTTTAAGGCTAGGCTTAAAACTTTCCTTTTTGATAAAGCTGATAGTTAGAGTGGCTCAGGTTATCCTGAGCTGTCTCTATAGTTACGCTGCTATAGGCTTAGACTGCTGGAGGACATAGGGACCCCTTTTTCATCATTCTGCTTCATTCTATCTCTATTCTCCCACTCTGCAGAATCTGTTAGTTCAATCTCTAACGTTCTGCTCTCTCTGCTTTTTCTCATAGTAGCTTCATCTGGTCTGTTACTGTTTGCCTGTGACTCCATCCTGGAGAGAAATATCAGCTGTGCTGCTGCCATCAACACCTTTGTTTATAGATGCTGAAGATTGGTTTTCAAGTGTTTTCCAGTCGGCCTCAGCAGATGGCCGCTCACACTGAGCCTGGTTCTGCTGGAGGTTTCTTCCTGTTAAAAGGGGGTTTTTCCTCTCCACTGTCGCTACAAGCATGCTTAGTGTGAGGGATTGCTGAAGGGTCAATGAGACGATGCAATCAACTGGTTTTCCTTAGAAAACTTCGAATCAATCTGACTGGATGATCTGGTCGAATTATCTCTAAAAAGTGACCTGAGATGACATGGTGTGAATTGGAGCTATAGAGATAAACTGAATAGAATTTTGCCCCATGACTTCCACCTGTAGCTAAATCTGGATCATTACCTAAATTGTTCCTCAGCATGAGGCACACCTTCAGTTAAAATGTCCTAAAATCTGTTTATTCTGACGATAATTGCTCTGACTCATGGACACCTCCTCACACAGCCGCCGTAGGCCTCATGACTTGTCACCACTTGAATGTAAGCGAAGTGCTGCAGCTACTAAAATGCAGCAGACTATCTATATAAAGCAGGGGAATCTTCTCACAGGGTTTAAAAAAGCAAAATGTCCTGAATGCATCCATGCTGCAGGAGGAGCACTTATATTTTAAAGCTACTAAATAGGATCATATTTTACCCACAATTCCAGAAGTTTCTAACCAGAAGGAGCATGTGAGTCTGGATTAAAACTGGATTAAAAGCAGGTTCCTCAGTGGCAGTATTAATCTGCAGGGATTTTATCAGAATGAATCTCTGAACTTTAACAGAACATTTCTATCAAACAGAAAAGTTAAATCTGGACGTGAACTATTTTTTTTTTTTTTTTCAAAATATTAGATTTTTATTTCCAATTGTAAAATATCTTGGAAAATGTTTCAGTGGAACTTTTTTCATGGTGTAGATTTCACATTATTTTCATCTTTGTAGATTAATAAAATTCTTTTGATATTTTTTTTCCTTTTTTTAAACGTTTGTCCAGCTTCTGTTGTCAGCACTAAGGAAACATCTTTAACCTCAGAACTCTGCTTCCCTCTGCTGGACATCTACCTGAAGTGCAGCTAAATGAAGAATCTGTTTTCATCTCGTAGATTTCCTCCTGGAGCACATTGATCACATTTAATTTACTTTATTTGTAGATTTGAAAGTACTTAAAAAGAAAAAAGGACATCACTGATCACATGGCAAAGCTCAGCTGCTCCTGGAATAGTTAAAAACACAAACAGGTTCAGTTTAAAATATTTTATTATTCAATCCGTTCAGGTGCAAACAGTCCCATCAGGAATCAGTTAAACTCTATGCAATCAATTTTCAGACTAATTATAAAACGATAAAGTCAAATTGTTCCTCCTTAAGAAGAATCCATTGAAGAGGAAAGAGAAAGGGAAATCTACATTTTTCTATTGAAAAGAAAGAAGAAAGGAAAGATTAAATAAAGACAAATTAATAAAGCCTTTTATGTTCTTGGCTATTTTTCCTTTTTGCCAACTTCAAATCATTGAAATCGCTGCAGGATTTCATTGATTAAACTCTAATGAGATATTAAGAATAAGCGCTGTAGAAATAAAACTGATATTTGATTCTATTCTATCAAATGTTTCCCTCTACAGTATGCGTTTTACGATCATAAAGAACTTCTGTTGCCTTTAAATTGAAACCTTTAAATAAAGGGTGTGTCATAGGTCCCCTCACTGTCAGGAATGAGTGGGGGAGTTCAGTAAAGTTGGGGCTGAATCTGATTCACAGTAGAAGGAACTTTAAAAGAGTAAGAAGCAACAGGAAGTAGCAGCTCCGGCCAGGGCCTCCGCTCCTCGGGACGCCCACAGCTCCAGGGATGAGGTTCAGAGTGAGGACAGACTGACATGGCGCCTGGCTGTAGCACATGCACTGGAAGCTACGGTTAAAGTAGTCAATGTCGTCCTGAGACAGGCTGCCGGTCACCATCAGTGGGCCGCTACGGCTGCGTCTCTGGATTGTGTAACGCCGAGGGTCGAGGTGAAGGTAGACATCATCGTTCCAGTTCCTCCTCACGCAGCGACCCTGGCTCTGGCAGAGAGCCTCGCTGCATAAGCGTGTAGCCGTAGAGACGTTCAGGATGTAAGGGTTCATCACTCGCTGCAGGTGATCCAGAGCATCAACGCAGGATTCCTAAAGCAGCGTTTGGTGGTCAGTCAAAGGCTGGTGGTAAAAGAAGGAAACAGAAAAGTCACATTTTCTGGTTTACCTCTGTGTCTGTGACGTTCATGTCGCCCCAGGAAACAACCCCAGCTGCTCCGAGGGCAGCGGCCTCTCCAATGGTGTTGACGAGGTCAAACTGCAAAACAACCGGTCATGACTCAGAAAGAAGAGCGGCCAAACCCTGATACTGGAATAATGTCATAACCAGTGATTCAACTAATGACAGAGTCAGAGGAACATCAAGTGTATCTAATGAGATTCAAACCAATGGATGATGGTGTGGAACATCTTACTGTACCTCTGACATGTAATCATCAACACTGTCCTTGTACACAGGCTGTATGTAGGCATAAATGGGAGTAGAGTAGGAGTTATTGGGTAGAACTGAGACTCTCCTGGCCTCCTGGATGCGATGGCGAACAAACATGCGGGCTTGCTGGGTATCTTTGAGGACCGACTCCAGATAGATGGATGGGAAGAGTGCAGTGGACTCCATCCAAAGCCAGAGCAGTTCATCGTTTCTTGACTTCTCAATGGGAGGACACTCTCCATTAAAGCTGGCCATATCCTGGTTGTAATCATAATTGTAGCAGTCAGGGTATAAGTAATAACCCCAAAGTCGGTTGGGCCTCAGCCTTTTGCCAAGTCTGATGGACCGGAGAAAGTATTTTTTGGCTGCACGTTCAAACAAAACTTTTGCCCGTTCCTCGGCCTCATCCTCAGACAAAGATACATTCCTCTTTTTGACCAGGTTGATAGAAATTCTCGGTAGATATCTTTGCTCCCCCAGTTTCTAATCCATTGTGGCCTCCATTCTTCAAAGTCGAGCACAGCTAGACCTGATCGGTTCATAGGAATGTAGAATTCAATGTCATCTTCAGCCAACTCCCGATGTTCCTTCATGTCCACCAACTGTGGAACACCCTCATCATACATCTCTCCCGTATCCTCGTCGACATAAGGAAATATCCCAAAGCGATCTATGTAGAATATAGAAATGCTCTGGTTGGTAGCAGATTTTAATGTACTGCTAACCAAGCTGAAGTAGGAGAGGTCGAGAGGTATTCCATAACGCGTTTCACAGAGCTCAGTTGGGGCATTCCACATAAACATAAAGTGGTGGTTAGGAAGAATTGGTCTGTCAGTCCTGGGTAAGGCATTGCTGGAGTTAAGGGTCAGGGCCAGGACAGCTACACAGATCGAGGAAAAGATGATTCTGCTGCACATCTCTGAGTTCTGACTCATTTGGTAAAAATCACCTCTGAGAGAAAACTAGACAAAAAAAACAAACAAAAAAACATGGTATTAGAAAAGCAGTCTGTACATCAACATCAACTCCAGAACCAATGCTGTCTCCTGTTAGAATAAACTGTTAAAATCTCTCAGTTCTGTCCAATAAACTCCAAAAGTTTAGAAGAAACTGTTAAGCATCTGAGCTCCTCTCTCGGCTGTCCTGATGTTTTACTCGCCGGTTTTACTTAGTTTTTGCTGTTTTAGAGTCTGATTTGATTCAAGTTATAAATCATCCCTCATGTCGGGTGTCCCCCCCGTGCTTTAAAGACCGCAAGTATGAAACCATTGATGAAAATAAGCTTGGACAAACCACCCCCCAACTCTTACTTAAATATTTTGGCTAAAGTGACTCATTTGATTTGGTTTGCCCTAGAACAAATATAGATTGGGTGAAAACACTGCCATATTAGATTGGTTGGTTTAACCAGAAGATTGGGTGAACACATGACTTCCAACCCAATTAAAACCAAAAACTGAGGAAAAACTATAATGTTTGAAGAAAACTGACTAACGCCTTTCATTTTGCTCATCATTGCCCAATTTATACTTTCCATGTCTGCTTGAGCTTATTTCACTAAAATGACATGTTTCTCTTCTAAGACATTTTACACACACAAAAAAAACTCTCTTATATTTGTGAGGTCAGTTATGTGTTTGTTCACATTTTTGAGTTCAGTTTTGTTTCTTTGACCTTTTATTCCTTCCTCTGTTTTCCATTTACTTCACTGGCAGCTGATGATTTTCTGTCTTTAATGGAAGGGTGTGAAAACTTTACGCGTTAAGTGGTTCTGTCTAAGTAAGGTGTTTATGTTAGGCACTAGTGATGGTTAATGAGGCACCTTAAAGCCAAACTGTATTGATGCTGTCTCTGAGAATACTGACACCTGCTGGACATTTAGAGACACTACAGGCAGCTTATTGGACAGACTAAACTTGAATGGATTTGATGGCCGAGTACAATGATACCATTGAAGATATCTTAGGTTATATTGTATTATTTTATATCTGTGTTTAAATTGAAAATATCTTTGATATTTCTAGATTCGAAAATAAATTATGTAAACATATAACGTGAAAATCTACTGGAAAATGTTAATGAGGATTTTTTTATTTTTATTAAACTTTAAAGATCTCACATTGGAGACATTTACCTCTGCATTTAACCCATCCCCATGGGGAGCAGTGGATGCAGTAAAAACAGTAAATAAACTAAGAGTCAATTTGAAATTAACTCTAATTCGGATAAGTTGAGTGATAATTGAGAAAAAAAAAGGATGACACAACGAGAAAATTGAAATAAAAACGGCTAAAACGTTCCTATTCCTTTTAGGATGCTCCAAAATCCTGGATAATTTTAACGATAAACCGCAAAAGATGAGAATTTTTTTTAGCAGATGCATCATGTTGACAGATATGTTAGAAACAACTCCTGGATCGCTCACAGGACTTTCTGGAAATGACACCGATACAGTGTTTGGCTCTATGGGCTCCACACATCAGTGTTAATGGCCCATCACTGATAGGTAGCTGTGCTGGGTGAATGGTGGATGCATCTGTTCAATAACAAACCTAAATTTCCTGAAGTTTCAACACAGTGTAAAAAACTTCTAAGAAATCTATTCCACTGAATTACTGCAAAGAAAAGTATGTGACTCTACCTAAAGACAGGTGAGATAAGCTTGATGGATCAGATCCAAAAACACTTCAGGAGGCTGGAATAGCAGCCAAAGGGTTCAGGGGAAAGCTGTGAGTCATTTGGGGAAATAGAGTCCTTAGAGTCCTTAGTTGTGTTTAAATGGTTTCTACTGTAACCTGTACAGCTGCAGTGCATTGGGTCGCCTCCAGCTGTCTGGATTAAAATCTGTGTCAATATTAAAACAGTTTAGTTAGATTTTTATACTCAGATAAATCACAACCATTTAAAGACATCTAGAAATCTGGATTATTCGTAAAAAATACATGTTTTGTCATTACATGTATAGATTAATAAAAAATAAGCTATCTGGGCATAGAAATAATCTGTCCTTTAATTTATAATGTTCTAGTGAAACCTAATAGGAATATATTTTCACCATTCTATAACTATTTTCTATTCATGTGTCCACAGATACAGCTGTATTTTCTGTTTTAAATAAGCTGTTATTATTTTCATAGGATGTAAAATTTAAAGTTAATATATATGTAACTTTTTCACATTATGATCATTTTCCTTTGTATAAACATTACATTAAAAATTACATTGAAAATGTAAATGATTCTCTTCAGTGGATCTTTATAGCAGTTTTAAAGCTTGCGTAAATTTGCAATGGGGGCCCAATATCAATGTCTTTCATGGGGCCCCGTATTGCTTGCGGCGCCCCTGCTTGTAAATAAACTGCAGAGGTTCAGAGCTCTCCTCAGATCCTGAGCTCTGGCTGAGTGGAGCGACACAAAAAAACCTGCAGCTGAACGCCAAAAAGACCAAGGAGCTCATGGTGGACTTCAGGAGGAACACTGACCCACATCTACCTATCCACACACCACCAAACACTCCAGTCACCCTGCAAATACACTTCTCACTCCTGCCCTCTGGAATGTTCCTGCAGACTAGAACCACCAACTATAAGGACTGTATATAGTTTCCATATTTATTTATTTTATAGCTTCTTATAATTACTCTCTGTTTATATAAATCATTTATACTCCATACATACATAGTCTCTATATGCATGTAAATAAATATTTCTATCCGGTATAGAACTTCTGGATAGATGCAAACTACATTTTGCTGCTTTGTACTTGTGACAGTTTAATGACAATAAAGTTGAATTCTATTCTTTTATCTACGTTGATCTACATTTAGCTGCATTTCACTGCATTTAGCTGCATCAGACACACAGTTCCTCTGACATTCACCTGTTCTTTGCTTCATGTTGTTGCAACATTAGATGACAGTGATAGGGAGTGTCTTTGCAGATCCAGGCATTGGTTGCTCATATCTTCAGGAACTGAGCTCATTTCCTGAAACATTTTGACACCCTGCTAGTTTAGCTAAAATTTCTTCATTTACTAGAAAATAACACTTTATAGATTTAAGAAAATCTTTGGTTCTAACCTTGTTTGAGATAAACTGAATGCCTGAATGGGTCAAAGGAGGCTCGATTGTTTGGACCTGCCGGTGTGTTTCCCTTGATCTGTGGGGAAACGCTAATGTTCAGCTCCAGCTATGCTATCATGATGTTGGTGCATAAAGGATTAGAAACCCGAGGTCTCTGCAGTTTGGAGGCCGGTCTCAATCTGATCATCACACAATGAGACGGAAACATTGATAAACAACCAGAAGATCAGCTTCACATAGATATTCATCATAGAAATGCAAGTCTTTTGCAAATGTCAAAGACTTTTAACACTTTAAAGCCCGATCCAAGAATAAAACAAAACAG